CATGCTTAGCTTCTCATCTCGGATCACTGACACGTCTGTGGATAAACGAAAATTAGAGAAGCCATCGAAATTAACCGATTTGGGAATAAATTGAATGTAAGGAATATCGTAAGAAGAAAAGTAAAAATTGCTTGTGTTTACTTAATAGACTCAAGAATTAAGAAGATGTTGAGCTTTGCAATGGTGAAGTTCGTTATATGAAGGACGAAAGCTTTGCACCTTTTCACCGGAATTGAAGGAGATTACCTCGGAAACAGCATCAACATAAATGTTCCAGTGAAGCCTATCAAAAGTTGGTCAAGAGGAATCCGCTGTCGTCTTTCACTCGAAATGAATGTAATTTCAACAATTATGAAACAAGAGATTCCTGGAAACTAATTTTTCTTCGCAATTTTCTTTATTCTATATGATTATTTTTGATGCTCTTTTTGCCATTAACATTCTACCACTACTCAAACTTCACATTCCGATCAAATGCTCGCATAAGATGAGTTTTAATAATAAAAGTACTCTATTCTGCCATACTACAGATGCACTTGTTGTTCCCGTGTTCGAATAGGCACAACGCCCATATACCTCATCGTACACTATCCGCATACCTTACAAAATTATTTCCATAAAAACACTAATTACTCATTTTTCGTTTAATAAGAGTTTCAAGACTACCACTAAATCAGTTATATGAGATGTATTCGTTCTATTTCGCTTAAGGTGATGAAAGCCTTGTAGTAGGATTTTCTAATAATCATATGAGTAGAGCTGACGTTTTCATTGAATTTCACAGAGCCTTACTTTCCTAAAAGTTTTGATCTAGCATAGGTCTCGAGTCTCAAGAGTCGAGACTCTACTTATACGAAAATTAAGTAATGTAGTCGATTATTATGGCAAAAATACGTTTACTTCATCGACAATGTCACCAAATAATGTGATATGAGAGAATGTCTGGCCTTTCTTAAAATTAACATCTGCCCTGTGACCCAAGGGCACTCGTGGCAATGTGGCCGAGTATTTCATGTGTCAAGCTCACATGCTGCATTGTCACGGTTCGTCTCCTGCTGGGAGTGTTGATAAGATCTATGCGAGGTTAAAATTGCAGTGCATTCCAGCCGGGATGAGAACTACTTTTGGGAAAGTAGGGCTTTGTGAAATTCAGTGGAAACGTCAGCTCTACTCATATAATTGTGGAAAAATTCTACTACCAGTCATTCATCACCCTGAACGAAATCGAGTAAATACATCTCATATAACAAATTATTCATTCATGTTGCACACATACTAAATTAGCGCTTTATCACATCTCGTCCTCATTTATTTCTAACTTTCATATACAATATCTAATCTTCATCATTATCTCATCAGACCTTCCTCGGGCCTTTTTGACTCACTTCGATCCACGTCAGCCCCTTTTGATTGGCGGCCTCTCATTGGCAGAGGAGACCCCGACCTACTTGCACTCGCGCTTCCGTGCCCATCGTTGGCTTGGTCTGCCTGCCTGCAAGATAAATCTATCAAATGGTCGTCCTAGCGCTCTGATCAAACAGCGTTCAGGGTCCCAGTCTCATCCTCCGCAGCTCCGCTCCCTTGACCCGATCACCGTTTCTGTCGGCTGGCGTCGTTACCAGTCTCTGGCTATTTTCTATAAAGTGAGATATCTTGACATTTGATTGGCTTTCGTAACTAGCACGTAATTGCCAAACAAGTTGTCATTGTTTCCAATTCGTTAGAATGTTTTTCTTAAGGCCCCGAGGACCTAAATATTTAGTCGGCGTTCTCGAATAATTAAAAAACCCTTTATATTTTCATCTTATATTCCAAATATATGAGTTTGCTTCAAAGATTCTCTGTAGAGTTTCCTTACACTACTATTCTGGCACTACACTACACTACACTACCTTAGGCTTTTGTCAACATTTAATAAGCACTAAGCGCTTTTAATGAGAACAAAATAAAGCATTCACTCACAAGACTAAAAAATCATTCATATTCAAGGTTAATGAGAAAGCAGGTATTTTATTTACGTAGAAAAATTGAGTCTTGAAGACCTCCTTAGTGACATATTGTTACATGACTTTCCATTTCGAATGAAAAGTTGTTTGGGGGGAATTCGTGATTTGGTCTTATCGGAAACCGAAGGAGGATTGCCACGTAGTGAAAACTGTTGTATTGTGCAAAGTCCTCAGCTCATCGTCCTGCAATCCCGATAACACTATGCTAAGCTTTCTTCCTTATTGTTGCAGACCTTGTTGGAGAAAGAATCAATGCTCTAAGAATTAGCGCAAAAATGAACTAAACCAAGCGAAAAAGTGATTGGCTGCAACCCTAGTTGCTTTTTTAGACAGCTAAATGTTTGCAATTGGCGACATTTTCTCTTAGCTTAGTATATTTTCGATATATTTAGTAAAGAAAGGATTCTTA